AATCTGTAAGTTGTCCTTCACACACGACTTTGCAGTTTAGTCTATCGTATGAATTCCTTATGATGTTGACGACCTCAAGTACGCCACCTTGTCGAAGGTGTCATAAGGTTCTCCTATTCACACTCTGAGATACCTTCTAATCAAGGAAATTGATGTATAATGACGAGTTCCATTCAATTAATTGTTCAACGATGATCCGTAGTGTCGCGATTTCATCTGTACACGACCGATCCTTACGGAATACAATCTGTCGATATTGTAGTTTGGCGTCCACTGAATCTTTCATTCGGTTCTGTAACACACTGTTGATAACCTTTCCTAGTGCTGATAATAGTGTGATGCAATGGTAGTTCTTACATGTTCTGAGATCTTTATTTAGTATCTTGATGAGGTATCCATATTTTCAGTCTTTCGGTCGCACTTTTTCTCCCAAATCTTCCTTAATAGAACGTAGAGTATATCTGCCGTTGTTTCTATGTCTAACTTCAATGCTTCAGGTGGTATGTTGTTCGGTTCTGCTGCTTTCTCACTCTTGATTTGTCTAATGACCATCCTGGTTTCTTCGATCGTTGATGGAGTGACAGCTATAAGAAGGTTTGTGTTTGCCTGTTCGATGTCCGATGGATTCAGTGGACCTGGTCTATTCAGGAGTTCCTTAAAGTGTTCTTCCCATCTGTTCCTCTGTTCTTGAATCTCAGTGACTGACTTGCCCTCTTTGTCCTTGACCGATCTCTCTGTTTGACAATAGTTCCCTGATAGTTTCATCGTTGTATCATCTGGTTGTCGGATATTTCTTTTTCTTACAGCTTTTTCAACTTTCATTGCTAGGACTTCGACGTATTTCTGCTTGTTGGCTCTAATGCTCTGCTTCGTTTGCTTATCTGCTCTCATGTATCAGGCCTATGCCTTGGATTTCTCTGCTGTTGTTCGACTATTTTCAATAGCTGTCTTCTTATTCCCTTGAATCTTGTCCAAGGTTTCGATAGAGACCCATTCCTTGTGATGATGCTTCATTCTGTCAGCACCTCTTGGCATGTTGAGTTTGTCAGTATCTCGAACCTTCGTAATGTTGTTTCTCCAGTTGCCCAGTGTTCCTTTAGCTTCGGTTTCATCTTAGCAACTATCAGGTGGTGATCTGGAGCTATGTCAGCTACTCTCTCGTCTTCTATGAATCTCTCGAATATTTTATTGTTGTAAGTATGGTCGATCTGGTTCTCTGTAGTGTGATCCGGTGAGATTCATATAGATGCATACATTTCTGGGGCAATATGGTGCCACCTATAACCATTTTGTTGAATGCACCTAAGTTTGTAAGTTTGTCACCATTCTTGTTTCTTTTCTCCCAGTCAGTGATTATTGTTACACGATATATTCATACCTGGTGTTGTGCGTTCCGACTTTGGCTTTTAAATCTCTCATCAAAAGGATCAGGCTCTTTCTTGAGCACCTCGCTATGATCTATTTCAGCCTCTCGTAAAACTGGTCTTTACCGTCTTCATTGCTATCATTGATGGGTGCATGACACTAGATAATATTCATTGTGATTCTTTTATTCTTTGTTTTTTTTAAAGGATGCTTCGATAATTCTGGGTCCATGAGATTTCTATTCTATAAGTGTTATACGTGCTTCTTTGGACTGCATCAGTGCAAATTTTGTGTGTGCCAAACATTTTCTTCATGAACAGAGTACAGCAGCATATCTTCCGAATCTAATATTTTCTCTCCAACTTGAGTCTAATGGGTTTCACTGATTCTGAACACCACTAAGTAGTGTCTTTTTACTTCCGTATATATTTGATTGGTCTTTCCGGTCTCCCACGTTGTCTGGACATCCCATGTACTTTTGTGAATTGTTGCTGTGGTTGTTGGAAGGGGTACCGACCTCGTGACTCCCGAAGAATCTCGGCTTCCACCATGAGGCGTCATAATTCTTCCTTCATCTTGGAGAACGGCGTTTAGAAGGTTTAAATGGTTTATTCTGGTTAGCGAGTTTTTAGCAAGGTTGTAATCTACGGGATATGGTTATTGACTACATACCTAACCCTCCTTTTACCCGGTTTTGGGATCGGTAGTAACCCTAAAAAAGCTACAGGCGGAGTTATCGGGAATGACACTAACAGTCCAGTGGATACGGTGAGAAAAAGATTAGTGTAGTGTTGTGTGGAAATTTTTTGTAAGATGGTGATTTTCAGTGGTCTTTTACGTACATCATCAGTGACCTATCTCTCGATGTTTATACCTTATGCGGAAATTAGCTTTTAGAGGTTATGCAGAAATATTTAAGTGTCATAGTTGTTTGACACTTATCTGAAAGTCAGTGACTCGATTCCCCCAAATATAAATGTCCTGTATATTCAAGTGATTTGTTTTCTTTTAAACGCTTTTCATTTTCAACTTGGTCGAGTTTATTTTCATTTAAAGTCACTAGTCACCGAGTCACTTAGGTTTAAGTAGTATCTTTTAAATTTCACTGTCTTTAAATAGTCTAAAAATCCCCATAGAATATTCAAACAACAAAGAATATTTGACTGGGCAATTGTTTTAAATAAATTCATCTTCAAACTCTACAGTTATAAGTCCATAATTATATTGATATTTTACAAAGGTGAAAACATGACATACAATAATGTATTTGGCAATGTTGTATGTTAAAAATGGTGAACGTTGGCATCTGTTACGACATAAGTACTTCAATGTAGTGTTATTTGTAAATTAGAAAGGTCAGAATGATTTTAAGTTAAGTGTCAAGTTGTAATCAGTATAATAGTAATACAATAAATCGTGTGTACACAATGCATTACCACAAGAGCAGTTGCATTGGTATGCACACATGGAGGAGCTCGTAATCGATAACCTACCCTTAATTTGTGTGAGTGCTGATTTGGTTGAGATTACATGTAATCTGGCGGCGTTAAATGTCCCTCAGCAGATCTTTTGAGTCGACATATTAAAAATTCACCCACCATATCCGCTTTGGAATCGAGTTTTAAATAGAAAGTTCTCTTGGTGACCGTGTCAGAATTTATCCTATTTTTCCATTGTGTTAGAAATTATCTGGATAGCTATTATTTCGTAATGTGTTCTTTAGTTTATCTATTTCGTAGTCTACATTATCCTCAGAACATAATTGTTTGAATTTGTGGCTGAGACATTTAACCGAATTTATTTCGTATTGAAGCTGTAAAAATAGGTATACTGACTCGCCCAACTATTCTTTGTAAATACATTTCTTTTTTCCTTCTGGAAATCAGGAAATTAAGGAAAGCCATATTATTGCCTTTCTCCTCTTCGCTGGTGAATTTAATAGTTGGGTAAACGTTATTAAAACTGTTCAGCAGCTCGATGCTTTTGTCGCACATGATTAATGTGTCATCTATGTTTCGTCAGTAATGATCTAGCTTATTGAGGGTGTCTTTCGATAATCCACTTTCCAGTTTAGCTAGAGAGATGTTAGTGAGGATTGGACCCTAGGGGCGATCCCACTAGCTGACCCATCTATTTGTCCATAAAATTTGTTGTTAAACGTACGGTAGATTAAGTGACTTTTCGAATTTACAAATAACACTATATTCAATTATTTATGTCGCATCAGATGCAAACGTTCACCATTTTAACATGCAACATTTCCAAATTCATTATTGCTTGTAGTTAGACATTAACACCATTGGATGCCGGCTCAGTTGTCTAGTAGTTAAGCGTTCGCACGCGAGACCGAAGGTCCCGGGTCCTAGTCTTGCATGCGGGATCGTGGATGTTCATTGCTGAGGAGTCCCGTACTAGGACGAAACGACCACTCGGTGCTCCCAAATTTTCAATGGCGGTCTAACATCCATCATATTAATTTAAACTCACCAATCTCCACAACCCTATACTGATAAATTCATTAATACATGTCTTGTTTTGACCTTTGTAAAATATCACAACATTTATGGACTTACAACTGTAGAACCTGATGATGAGTTCATTGAAAACGATTGTTCACTCAACTATTCTTAGTCTTTAAAATAATTTAGATATGAATTTCATGAATGTTGGTGTTTGTGACACATGTTTTAACACTTTGAACTTTCACTTTACTAACACTTTAACGAAAAGTATATTGATAATCTATCTATCTTGAATATGTAAGGAAGATTGTACAGCTAGGATATTTGATTCTAAACATGTTTCCAATAGTGAATTTACTACATTCCAATCGAAAAAGCTTTCTAAAACTTTTAACCTTACTTTACAAATACTATTCATCATAGTGTTATAACTAATTATGTTTCAAATAAATTTCCATAATATATATTAATTTATTGTTAGAATTTTGCTCGTACCTATCAATTTGTTATTTATGTTGACTATTCATACAGCTCAATCGACATTAGATCTCACCTCTGATATATCATCTACAATATATAATAATGTAAGTACTGGAATCAAGCTAGTTCATTCGGAATCAACATCAGATTTTTCTTGTAAAAATAAACTTCTCAGTGTAGAAATTCAAAATAATCTCAGTAAAATTGATCATATAGGCACAGCAAGTAAGCCAGCTGGGAAATCTTTTTCAGACATTGCTGTTCAAAAGTGTGATCCACATTCACATCATATATGTTTAGATCATTTATCTGGTAATATGAAAGGTTAGTCAGGTCGTATTTTATTTTCTACAATAATATGTATTATTTTTGTGTTTAAACAGTTTTATGTACTTCGTCATGAGGTTAAGTCGTATAAATTTATAGATAAGTTATCATTTTATCCAGATTTTACGCAAAACACTTCATTTCTCGACATCATGTGTGCTTGTAGTATTTTTCTATTTATTATCATGTAATTGAAATTGTAGACGTGAAATAATCTTTTAATTAAAGTCGGTTAATGGTTATCAATGGACTTTTCCGCTGGATGTCCATGAATCCCAGTGATGTTCACTCCGTTATTCGAGTGCTGGTACCTTTCTCTTCGAATGCCAACGCTTTATTCATTAAACTTCTGAGTTCAGAGGGTCACTAGCTTGTGCAACGGGTATGAGTTTTACATGTAAGGGGCTGTATATGCTGTTGTTGGAGACTGCAGTTGATCAGTCTCTGTTGGCATATGGGCATCCTGAGAGGGTTGCCTGGATATTGCTGTTTAGTCATAAATATTTAGTAAAGTTGGGTAGTAACTGGTATTCAAGTATGATCAATTGTAGTCTTTGACATCAAACAGAGAAAACGCAAACCCTTAGAAACTGAAATAATTTGTTCAACTTTTTGACTCAAATGATCATGATAAGGGAGATTGAAAATTCTTTAATTAACATCAATTCTTAATTGACCAATCTTTTGTTGCATGAAATGAATCATACAGAGAAAACACTCAAATGCGTGTACAAACGAAATTGTTTAAAGCAGATCAATCTTTGACGTACAGTTTTCTTCTTAGATTAGTAAATTACAAGTTTGAATGCAAGATATGTGCACTCGAGCATCTTTATTGATGTAACATTATGATCTTTTTTGAATTCATGTTTTTGAACTATAAGTAATTCTTTGTTAATAATTTTAGAATGGCCTCCTTATTCATCCATTACTGCTCCAGTTAGTCCTGGTGGATTACAAAAAGAAAATCACAAAGCATTGTCTGGTACGTCTATACCATTTCATAGTTGTCGCTTTGGTCGTCTGATTATTTCACCTGATGGAGATGAAGCAAAAGAACTAAAGTCAATCACTTATCAAACGACACACAAACTTTACTCAGCTCCATCGAAGACAGAAAACGAGAACCAGATAGGTATGTTTCTAAACTACATGTATACTCCAACCGTTTACTGTGTGATGAAACAACAAATAAGAACGTAGTTTGTGGACAATCGTGTTGAAAATCTAGGACTCTTTATTTTATGAGATATATTTGATACTTAAAATCGACCCATTAGTGTTTTCTGAAACGTGTTTCTCAACCACAGCTTTGTAAGTATTTTTACAACAATGTTCAATTACACATCAGACTCTGTTCTCGTATATTTTAAAACTATACGAAAAGAATATGGACAGAACTGGATGACACACAACATGCGGGACACTTTCTGGATAACTCCAAGGTTTTCACCAGCTACTGACTCGACAAGGCACATTACTCTCTAAAGACTAGGTTGGCTTCACTACTTCACTTCCTATTGTTCGTTCAATAATCAGTCTGTACCAATCCAAGGAAAGATTTCGAATTTTTTGAGTCAAAAACATTCTCGTTTGAATTCCAGGTTGTAAGCCCCCAGAGAGATACTTGCGGTAAAAGTAAATGAAAGCAAAATAGTGGTTGACTTTAACGAACTTAGAATGATCACAGAAACTGAGTTTCAAGTAATATATAAGCTATTTCTATCCGCATAAAGTATCGTTGATTTTGATTATCTGTTAAGAATACTTACCTAAATTTAGCAACCCTATTTCACCAACGTTTTATGATATACAGTGTATTATTTTAGCGACGTCAATTTAATCCCTCCTATTGTTTCAGCTAAGCTTATTCTTATCGTGAATACAGTATATTTTCAATATCCTAATATACCATAGAAAGGTTTGGTATTGCTGTCAAAAACAAGTGACAAGATATGAGTACGATGGTCAAACTAAACAGGAGACGTTTCTCGAAAATTGAAGCTGTGACGTTTGAATATTAACGGAAAATGTCTCGTAAATTTTGCTTTTATCAAGAAACGTGTATCTGTTATTGGTAGTGGTAATATTTTTACTCAGCTACTGTCTGGGAATCAAGATTTGCTTGAACCTACAAAACAAGGCAAATAATGTATTTGGTTATCTTATAAGAATATCTTAGTGTTTGGAGTTATTTCTTATGATCATGACAATTAACTCAAAATGACTAGTTTTATTTCAGTTGAAATGGAGCTGAATACGCCTGCTACAAGTATATCAACTGAACATGAAAAGCAACCTAATTCAGAAGTATGTTTGGCCTACTTATTCATTGTCAGTTTTAAAAGATTTATATATTTACGAATAAATTTTTCTGCTACCCATTAGGATGTTTTATTTATTTAAACAAGGAGGCACCAAATAAGCATGCGCCATATTCGATTAGTGTGAGGGCTGGGTGCCCAAACCGAAGCAGGATGTTTACATATTAGCATGTGTTATGTTCTATCGCATACAATGGTTAAGCATGTCTATTAGATAAGATCATCAAACCCGTTTGTTCATATATTGTATTCCAATTGTATGTTGATCAGTTTAATGTACAAAACACCTTGAAGCTTATGCCTTAGCACTTTAAATTTAACTTATTCAAGTTCATCGTTGTGTAACATGTTGGAAACCCATAAACTGCAACCATACTACGTGATGGTTAAACTTTTGGATATTTTATGGTCATTAGTAGTACATTTAAGTAGTTATATCATGTATTCGGAGAATCAAGCTAGATTTTCAGGTAAACTTGAGTGTACACTAGTTAAACTAACAGTGGTAACCAATAAGTGATGTGTACAAGTATTCAACAGTTGTACAGCAAAAAGAAAATTATGGTGATCTAGCCGTTGGAAGTAAAATGTTTTCTGGGAACTGGTGGTGAAAACCATGAACACCTAGTTTTAACGCCGCGGTAACACCAATATCTTTTAGCAATCAACTTTTTGACATTTTTGCCTTTGATGGATATTGACCTCGGACATGTTTATTTTGTTCGTCTGATTCATATTTGACAACATGTAACTTTGAAATACGTTTAACTTTTTATGAAAAACGTCATGAAGCTTGATCACTATATTATAAAAACTAGGATGTAACTGGAAAATTGGATATATTTGAGTTTCTGTCGCTTATCAGTTAATATGATCATAATATCCTACCAAAATTTGTTAAGTATCAGGGGCGTTGTTATTAGTCTTGTCTAACGCGTCTTGCAGACTTCTAAATGATGTTCTTACATTCCATATAATTTATTTCTAGTCGGTCTCACTAACTTTACCATATATACCTGAAACTCCTGCGTATATGTTGAACATGGTCAATCTTTCTCGAAGTTGCAGTGCTTATGAGATTGCTACAGTGCCACTTAAACTTTCGTGCAATAGTGATCTCTCTACCAAAAACACATTGTCGTCCACATCAAATTGTTCAATTTCTATGAATAATGACAGACCGAGGTCTAAGTATGGTAGGTGGATTTCCAAAAAACTTCACAAACGTTCGAAGCATGGAGTTTCGCAAGATCTAAAGATTAAAGTTGGTCGATTCTTGGAGCCTTATCCGCCAAGTACTAACGACGTTCATAGAAGTAAGGAATTAAAAGAAGGTGATTCTGCTAACAAGGCGACATGGCATAAAGTATGGTCAAAAAACAAGTAATGGATTATCAAACAAGTTTTTATTGTATATATTTCTTTAGTTTAAAATTATATTACAGTTCTTAACTTTAAATTACTTGTTTTGTATGCGCTTACCAAGTTAAATGAGTTTGTTTCCATTTATATTGCGCTCATTCTGTCGGTGATCCCATGAAGGTAGAGATGATGCATCAAATACTGCAGGGTTACTGAATGCAAACCTGGCTTGTTCTAGAGTAGCTACACATGATCTGTCTTTATAAACATCAATCAATTCATATGTACCATCTCTCTGACTCTAAAAATTTTTAACGTAAAAATTAATATCAGATGGGATTTGTGGATATTATAGTAATTTCAATGGTTAAGACCATGAGTCATTTGAAGCTAGACCACCATGGAAGCACTGGACGGCCGTTTCGTCCTATCGCGGGACTCCTCAGTAGTGCGCACCCACGACCTCGCCCCTTGCGAGATTCGAACCCAGGACCTACCGGTTTCGCGCGCGAGCACTTAATCATTAGACCACTGGGCCGGCATCCAGCGGTGTTAAGGTCTAACTTCAACTAATCCACGAAATTGAGCGACGCATTCATCATTGTGAGTTACTATCTCACAACAGACCTGGTTGAACTCCACTGGTCACTACTTCGCTCTAGAACTCCAGGATATACCTCTTGAAGCCAGTTACTAGTGAGCATATTTTGAGTAATAGGACGAAACGGCCGTCCGGTGCTTCCAGGTTTCCCATGGTGGTCTAGCTTCAACTGACTCATGATCTTAACCATTAAAAACTAATAATTTATAACTGACTCCATTCGGTATGTATGCAGCTTTGCTTAAAAGCAGATTCATTAATACGATTGAGCGGTTACTACTGTACGTCATGATACGCCTAGTAATCGAGTTATTCATCTAGAGTTCCTTTTGTAGTATACGTGTTTCATGTCTTACCGAAAAATGCACTTGGGAAATAGATAGAAAATATTCAGTGGTACTGTGGTGTATGCGATTTATGTCCACAGACATAATTAGTATGTAACACCAATGGGAAGGTGGAAAACCTAGCAGAAGGCTAAAAAGATCGAGTTGAAGAGAATAGAAGGTAAGCCCCCAAATGCCCTGGTATGGCCGAGAGTGTAGTGGGCCCGCCCTCCCACTCGAAATGCTCCCACACGGCCACGCGCATACAGCCTCTGCCAGGGAAGTCCTACTCACTGCCTTCTCATGACGAGAGTGTTGTTTACGAAAATGAAAGGACGAAAAGCAAGTGTCCGGCGCTTAAACCGGATCCCAAACGAATGGTGCACATGGGCTCCAGTATCGTGAGGGAGCAAATGGCGTATGAACCAATCGTTGGTCACCGGCTACCATGGGACTGCATCTTCTCGCGATGCTCTAGTGCCTTGTGGGTTAGATCTTTAGGTCAAAGGCTCGGGGTGTGGCCCCCTAAGAAAACCACCTGGTTCGGTCTGGCCGCCCGGCCAGTATCACAGCCCACACACAGACAGAATGAAATGAAGATACTTACGGAAAATACTATGCTTGCTTCGATTAACAATCAAGCGATTCACTTTGTTATTATTTACTACGTTTTTTATTCCCACTCTGTGTATCCTTATTTTCCGACTTATATGCACTAATATATTAAATCCCCATCAACAGTTAATTATAAGCTGTTAGATTAGAAAGTTCCATCAAAGTGAGGAGAAACGATGTGTTCTCGTCATCTTCGCCTATGCCAATTAACTGTTCTTCTCCAGAAAGTGCGTTCGACAGATGTTGTATCACCAGCCGGAGACTTGAATGCTCAGGTCGGGCGTCTAGGCACAGAAGAGAGTCGTTTAGGTGGCCGATGGGGACTCGTTGGTCGCAGGTCAGATAACGGGGACCGTCTACTGCAACTGTGCATAGACCACAACCTGTTTCTGGCTGGCACTAACTTTCGGCACAGTCATCGCCGATGTGCCACCTGGCGTCCTCCCTCTGCATCTCAAGCCTGGACTCAGATTGACCACATCGCGATCAGCTACCGCTGGCGTGGTTGTGTACAAGACTGCTGCTCCTTTTGGAGTACCTATCTGGACTCTGACCATGCCTTGGTCTGCGCCAATCTTATCTTACTTTTCAGTTGTCAACGAAGTTATCGTCACTAAAGGATTGATGTCAGCAAGTTTGTTGCGACTTTTGTTGTTAGTAAGTATCGAACCGAGCTAGCTTCTAGGCTTCGCGCAACGTCCCGCTTATAAGCACTGGGTCTCTTCAGGCTCCTTACAGCTCATCGAAGCCCGTCAGTGTGCTCCTGGAGAAAGACTTCTCGACCTTGAGTAAGCGGATGATATTGTCTTACTGTGCGATAATGCCCAAGGCATGCAATCCGTACTTAATCAGTTGGCAACCAGTGTCCGTAGGTATGGTATGTGCTTTGCACCTTCGAAGTGCAAAGTACTTCTACAAGACTGACAGGATCCTGAACTTGAACTCACCCTGGGTAGTGAGCAGATAGAAGTATTCGAGAAGTTCGTGTATCTAGGTAGCTGCATAAGTGCTGGTGGTAGTGTGAGTGATGAGATTAATTCAGGTATAGTGAAAGCCAGAGCGGAATATGCCAATCTGGCATCAGATATGGCTCAGAATAGAAGTCAGTGGCGATCCTGCTGTAACCTTCTTTTACTTTCTTCATAAAAAGTGGTTGTATCTTCCTTAACTAAAAGATTTCTTCTGGCTTTACCTTTCCGTTTCCCCTACTATTACCATTATTATTACTATTACACTACCTTACACTAATCTGTTCGTTATTGTCCTTGTTTTTTAACGCTCCTTACCTTCTTTTTTTCTCTTCGAATTCCTATTGTTTTATGTGGCGCATATAAATTTGGTGCCCTCTTGTACCAATGTTTATGTGTTCAAATAAATAATAGAATGTAAACAGAAGGAGATTGTGACTTAGATGAGTCATACAGAGTGTGGAATGAAGCATTCAATGGTTCTTATATTTCAACAAGGTATTCCGTAATTTTATACTAAAATACATTCGGTTGTCCCCTCCGCACCTGTGTTCTCACTTATTACAATACAAGCAAGGTCATATCTAATTGAATTTAAAGGAGCTGGAGAGCTGCAGATATATCTGGTTCAAAGCAAGTTGAATCCCTCATATGTAGCATGCACAAGTTATGTAGAACATAGCTGTCGTCCGGTTCCTTTTGTGCCATGTGCATCGAATAAAGTATATATGGGTTAACCACAACCTGCAGGCTACCCACAAATAATTAAGAATTATGGTTTTTCCATTCGAAGTTTTGAAAAAATAGCGTTCGAAATTAAACTCATTCTGTTGTCTAAATGACTTGAAGAACGCTCTTTTTCTGACGATAAGCACATAAATGGTCTCATAGGGAAATAACCACTGGACTTTAAGGCTTAGGTAATAATTTAGTAGCAGTAGTTTTGCGATTTACACTTATATTTTATATCAGTCTTACTAATTCACACATAGAAAATAAGTTACAGGATAGTTCTGTAATTCCAACGCAGAACATAGGGTTTTCACTTTAACTTCTCTAAAATGAGATTCTTACCACTCAATGATGGGCGAATTTGTTACCTTCTTTGCATAATCTAAAACTAGTTTCATCTTCGTTGATGGTATTTTTGATTTTGCAGTGGCAGTGGGTTACATTAATGCCAGTTTATTAACTGCATGTTCACCATTCATCCAGGTTTAAAGTATTTTAGTTTTTTGTATGAATTTTAATATCAACCTGGTTCAATTCGGTAGTTTGTTAATCTTGGAGAAGATCTGTAGCCCAAATGGAGTTTTGTTCTCTAATTTGAGTGATTTAATCGGGAAGCTTTTATTGTCCTTCTGGGCGTGATAGGTGTCAACAACCAAGATCGACAGAACAAGCAGTCATATGTGGAGAGATTCGGATACCTTACTCTAATCTAAAGTTTCTGCTGATGATGTACGTAGGGACAGTGGAAGATTCTTGACAAAACCAGCCAGGTTAGATAATGAACCTCATTCCGTATAGTTATCACACATACCCTCTACTTCTTTTTGTGTACACTGTTAGTGATATGGTAGGTGTTTAAATCAAATTTACGAGTTTATAAGTACCTTTACAATAAGTATCCAGGGTATTCCCAAGCGGCTTTGATCCAGAATTTTTCTACCCAAGCTTAATTCTTTGCGATCATCCACCAAAATGTCACCAAGTAACTTGAAGTTGATGGAATCACTTTGAATGGTATCGAGGATATATTTCAGCTCATCTGGATTCACACTGTCCTTGGCCGTTTCCTTCAGGTAAATAGAAAAACGTCATAATTGTATCTGAAAGTTAGTTTGTTGGTGTTTCATAAACAGGACATTCTTACAGCCACTTGTGGATAAAGTTTAGTGAAGTACTTATTTATAACGATCTAACCCTTGTGATGGTTCGGAAAAAAAGCTAGCATTCATACCGTGATCTCAGTCATAGGTACTTACTGCGTAATCAGGTGTTGACATCACTTTAATAGGTGTGTACAGAAGACATACTTGCTTCGTGACCAGCTTATTACAAAAACATGTTGTAGTAGTAGTAGCAGTAGTAATACAACAACATTACGAGAACTGAACTTCTTAGTCGTTAGAATCCATATTTAAAAGTTCCAATATTACTCTAAGTATAAACCAACTACCTTCTGTAGAACTATTGATCCGCTGTATGGTGCGATTCGGACAGGCCATCGAAGCTGTGTGATCTGATCTTTAGATTTGTCAGGAAACGCAACTCTTGTCAAGTGTTCGATGCAGACGGCAAGTAAACGTGATATTCCAAGACCATAGCACCCCATGAACATAAGTCTAGGATATAAAATATATGAAGTGATGTGTGTCATTTTATAAGATAAACATCATACGTAAAATTTCCAAACACTAAAAAAATGATGAAGACAATGTAGTTGTTTGTTCAGAGGTTATTTCACTGTAACTTACTTTGAGCCTGAAGGGGATTGATAAGTGGCATCAAAACACTTTGAATATCGTTCACCCAATAGGAAACAGTGGGCGACCTTAAAAAAATAAACATGAAACTGTCCAATCAGTGACATTCAAAGCTAAGTACATCGTGATGTCAAACGAGACCTATAAAGTTACATCGGAAGCAATGATTTAGGGTTATTTCCAACCACATTACTACGTATCTTTCATGAGTTCGATAGAAGTGTGCTCTTAAAGCAGTATTAAATGACGTGTACTGGATAATGAAAAATATAATCTATCATGTCACATAATAAGCTACGAAAGTAACATATCCCCTTTACTTTAAGCAGTACAGGTATCCAACTGGTTAGGGATGCTTAAATAGAAGAGAAAAACAGTAAATCATTTAGGATTGATTGTGTTTTGAATTTTAGAAAATACACTTTGCTGGCGAATTCTGCTCTCTGATATCCGTTCACTAAATGTGTCCATCGTTAATTCGATTTCAGAATAATCGTTACTCAAACAAATGAATATAAATAGTTGATCACGCAAGCACTATATCACTGTTGTGCCATGAATGTACACTTCAAAATAGTTTGATGACAATGCGTCCAGTTAACTAAGGGGCATGTTGAAGTAATGGCGGCTAATGTAAGGTCAACTGTCACCAGCTGAAGAGGTTTTTTACGGACGGAAACAATAACTTTATAAATAAATGAATATATTTTTAATATCCCAATGAGTAGAAAATCTAATTTTTCTACATATTGGGATATTACAAATATATTAATTCATTTATAACAATCTACCCAATGCTCCAATTATTCGAAATTAAGTCCAACCTTGGTAAGAATAACTAATAACTCTTTCGCTGATAATTCTTGATTACTTACTTCTATACCTTGAACTTCATTGAATACTTTTGGGCAAGATTGTAAGGGACACAATGAGCTGGCAACTTCACCTGTAAGTAATTTCCTTCAGAATGATAAATACCTTTAAGTTCTGAATTGAATTTCAGGGAGCATCTAAAGTGAATCAAAAAGTGTGATGGATATTTGGACAGATTTTTAAAAAAAATTAACTGATTTTACAATTTAAGATTTATGCAAGCGAAATGTAAGAACAAATGTTATGTTAGCATACTTCACTGCGGCCTTAAATAACTGAAAAATAATAGGTAAATGTGGTTAGGTACCTTACTATAATTCTGAGACAAGATATGAAAAAGAACATTTTCCACAATAAAATAGACATGGTTTTTACGCCTTGGCAGGAAACTAACGTTGCTTGTTTTGGATAATATGGACATGTATCGGACGGACAACATGGTAATTCTCAATATCGTATTATCATTAACGCTAGAACAACTTTCGAAAATAAAGTATTTTCGCATGCTTAGTTGGAGTTTCGCTGAATGGACAAGCAAGCATTTCAACTTTGTAGTGTTTGGTATTATCTGGGAGTCGAAACAGTTTCAGTGCCCTATTAGTCACTCGTTAATTCGACTTAACATTGGGTCCTTCATAATACTTTATGTTTAGGTATCTTTCATGCCTACTGTTCACTACCATTGATACTACTTCAGTGGTATTTCTTTTGATAATTTCATCAAGCTTTGATTACATGGTGCAACACCTTGGGCCAATGTAGATTCCTACCAAGTCCTACATTGCTTATAACTGACAGCTCTCATAGTTACCGATAGGTGGTGAGGGACAAACAATTTTGCTTAATTCACTCTACATTATAATCAGCTTCCAGAAGATTGATGTTAAGTTATTGTTTGAACCAAAGAACCTATGTTTTGTTTAAATAAAGTGACATACTTTCCTGCCGTTTAAATTCATCAAACTGAATTAGAAAGAACTATAAACAGGAAAACACAGGCATCTATTATTACCCATTCATATATAACTGGCTGCTTCAAAAGCTGTAAATGGTACTCATAATGTGCTAAGTGCTTGTTATTTTTCAATAAATAACCATTTTCTAGTAGCTTGGCTGGTCAAAAGAAAGATCTAGAGAATACAATTGTTCGATACTACGATTTTCACTGTAAGGTAACACTTTGGATTTACACAGAAAAGGTACATTACTTCAATGCCCGCGATAAATGTAGGTCTATTGACATCTGATAGGGTAATTTTCATTGGTATAGTTAACAGGTAAAACAAACCATGAAACTTTGGTCATTTGGAACTATCGACCACTTTTCGAACGCAAAGATCTTATTTTCGATCTTTGAAAAAACCTTAACGTTTAGAAAGCGACTTATGAGAAGTATTTGAATAATATTATAGGTCAAAGTTTAGGTTTTATGAGGTCGAGTGAACCGAAAAGATCAGTGCACCTTTGGTTTACTGTTCGCCGATAAGAATGCCAGTTCTGTCCATATCCCCCGTGTATATTATTTCGGCTACAGCTAGCGTCTTAATAATTATAGAGTAAAAATGTAAGTGGTAATAGTCCGTAAAGTAGTTCTGATAGTTACATTTCCAGTATTTGCTCAGTCACATTTTATAGATTTTGCAAGGTATTTTTATTACATATGCGCCACACAAATCTTATTCGATGTGTGAGGGCTATGATACTGCTCGGGTGCCCAAACCGAACCGGGTGGTTTTCTTATGGGGCCACTCCCCGAGCCTTCGACCTGAAGGACATTCGCTTTTCGTCCTCTCATTTTCGTAAACAACACCCCCGCCACGAGAAGGCAGTGAGTAGGACTTCCCTGGCAGAGGCTGTATACGCGTGACCGTGTGAGAGCATTTCGAGAGGGAGAGCAGACGGATTCCTTTTTTAAGTAAAGACCAATCAGATAAGTGGGTAAATCTGCTTGAATCTATATGATGAGATTAAATATGTTAATCAGAATAGCACAAAATTGATTACAACTCACTTTGAACACACTAATATTCGGTCTTCTCCTACATCAGCTTGAACGTGAAATTCCTCTGAAATGAGACCACCAACATTTCCTGGATCTGCAGATGCTTGATTTAAAAAGAATGCCAAAGATGTTGGGATGTAACAGATGGAGTTAATAAATTATAACTTAAAGAAATGAAAAAGGATTGAGATTTCACTCAACAGCAAATTAGAGGAGACCTGGTGAAGGTTAATATGTATATGATGTCGATATAGTGCTTGTAGTTAACCACCAGACGTCAGTTTTCTCCCGTTACTTTTTAAGAACGTTTATAAGACCTTGCTTTATTAATTATTCGCAACACCTTTTATTTTACCTTCAGACGTATATGAGACAATCTGACGACTACTGATTGTTCTTATGACCAAGACAATTCACTTTCATGCAAATCGGCATAATCTCTTTTGAATATACATATATGTTTTGCATAACATGCAGATTGGTTGAAATCTATGTCACTTGTATGCAACGTAATAACGGAACGTATTTCAAATTTATTTCTCAATGGTGAATTGATAATGTATTTAATTCGGACACCCGAAAATCGGACAACGGATGCTTATAGTAGTGATTTTGACAACTTTTTAATGATGAGATTTTTAATCTATCGAGTGCTTTCTACTGAAATAATACACCAGAATATTCAGATACTTTTTATGTGAGCTCTCAAAGTAAACGCTCATTACCAACACCAACAAACTGGAGATTAAAGCTAAAATATATTCGTGCTTCATATTACTGCTGATTCGTTTTAAGGGTTCATATCTCTGAAATACCCTAAAATTCATATCATATTAATTCAGTGTTAGGAATTTAAATAGAACAAAAGGGGATATATTACCAAAACTCAGGTGATACAGTCACACTTTATCAACTACCGTGAGGAAAATAACGAGGACAACAGGACTGTGCTTTAAATGAGTACTAAGTTGTGAGATCTAACAGTTAACTTTTAGGACTGATGCCCAGTCTTGTGTGCTGTTAAGGGTATGAGGTCTGATGTCACTTTCCGGCTGCCCACACCGTGGAAGGGTACTTCTTGAGGAACCTGAAAAGGAAGTTGGATTAATGTTGGTCTTAACGACCTGGGAGCGTGACCGCATATCCCAAGGGACAACTGCTTGAGGCCGGTCGCGCACGGCCTTTTTGTGGGGTTTTTAACGTGTTAGCTCCGTTCTTCAAAGGGCCTTACTGCCGTGGACGGAATTTCGGGAGGTAAGGTGAGGCGTGACATTTTTAGGGTCGACCTTCTCTAACCCCTTCCTTCTTTGTGAGAAGGAAGCAGTGCTGCAGATGCTGGTTGTCTGAGGGAAACACTTTATTGCTGTCACACCCCTCTGCAACCAGCGGTAAGACTTCGCCCTCAAACCTTGAGTTGCTGCTTCTAGTCTTACCGTTCTCCAATCGACCTGCCTGGTAATGGTAGAACCTACAGGAACATATGTTTCAGCAAATATGACTCCGTTGGATTACCACGATGGGCAAGCCCGACCACCGCGTCAAGGTAGCAGCTAGGGTCGGGACTGATTTTACCAACATAGCATCCAGAACTTAAAATCATGGGATGACAGCTTACTAAAAATGACTATACAATTAGTTTTTATGAAAAAGGGGATATTTTAGATAGTGTATTCCTGGTGAATAATTGCCTTAAAATAATCAGTCGTTTATAATTTGCAAGTGACATCTATCGATTAGCGTAGCACAATTATACTAAGGGACTAGCCACAAAAAGGGTCAGCTTACCAACTAGGTACGGTAACCCAAGGTTAACCAACAAGTCAGAATACGCAGTTTTCACATGTCTATACGTTTCCTCAGCTGCCTCGGCAGAAGCATCAAATGTGTAAAGGTCTGGAATTTAAACAGAATAAAGTGCCTGTACCTTGCATTACAAACTCACGTCCCCTGACTAGACCATGTTTTGGGTGAGGTTCATCTCGAAATTTGCTGGTTATCTTGAAAACAAAAGTATTTTTATGTAGCTTACCTGATACATCAAAACAGGGAGGGACTTATACGACAAATTTAGACAGGCAATGAAATTGGTTATACATTCTTCATGGGTCTAACAGAATGTGAGGGAATTATATATTACTGGCTGTAAACAATACTCATGAGATAATCTGTCTTTGACTCTGAATAAGCTACTCTGCATGGTAGACCATCGACCTGTGTGGTTTATAATGACTGTATATATATATATACATACCAGACTTTTCCCAGATGTGTCTCGGACCTAACGTTGGGAGCAAAACACGTTGAGCTCCTAGCTGTAACATCTTATTGTCAACTAAACTTTCCAGCTTTCGCAGAGATCGCAGTACTTCCGGTCCAAAAGCATACACACCGGTGGAGTCAGAAAAGATGAGACCATACAACCGCAGAAGCTACATTTTAGTCGGAAGTATCGAACAAAAAACCTTTTGGCTGATACAAACAGTAGATGTTACTCCAGGTATGTTTATTAACGGGGGAAGGGAACGAGATAGAAACGTGAACACAGACATACGAGGCCCGTTAAAAAGTCAAACCCTTTCAATGCCGCCCGCCGTTTCGTTCCAATGACCTTGATCAGCCTTACAAGAGGCGGTCATTGCGTACTTCAAGTGTAGTGGGTTTGTTGCGTGTCTGTTTGATCACACAAATATTAAGTTTTCTCATATTTAAGTAGTCTTTTGCTGCAGTAAAGTCGAAAAATCACTGCGAAAAGCACTGATTTAGCTTTTTCTATTGTTGCTTAGTAACTTGGTCTGTGATACAAATGACTCTACTGAACCTCAATGCCTTTTTAAACTTTTTGATCAAGTTCAGAAAACAACTCAACTCCTGAATCGTTCACCCTGAGAACATTTCGAATAACACTTTCAAAAACCTAGTCACAAGCTAGATTACAATAATTGGTTTCTGTACTTGCCTGCCCTGACTATGATCAGAGGGCGAAATCGTTCTGAACGGAATAGAAGAAGCCTTCGTTTAACGGATTTCCGTATCTATTGGTAGTAAGTCATCGATGCCTCTAGGTAGAATTCTAAATATATTTGTGGGGCCGTTGACATATCACTGAGCCCAAGACAAATCATCGGTAGTTGGGTCACTGAATATCGTGTAGCGGTAAATAAATCCCCAAAATAAATAGCACTAAGTTTTCGACATTGGATGCTGACCATATGTTTTAGTGGACTCACCTAGCTGAAGGCGCTCGGTCAGTCATCCGCACCAGATCACGTGTGGTAACGCCGTGCTCAACATCAACCGCAATCGCTAGCCAGATTAGATCAGAGAATTCCGATATATTGGTCATCGCCAAATATACTCTTCCGATCTCCTCGACTCTGTCTTTTGATTTCTCTGGGCGGGAACGAAATATATTAGAAGGTGTTACTGGTAGAAGCGTTGTCAAACACTGAATACCTGTGACATCATCATTGGTGAAACCGACGTGATCTGGTACACCTAATTGCAACTGTGAGTCTGTTCCTTTTTGGGATTTTTATATATCATTGCCTTATTTTTTTAACTTTTTTAAACATTGTGATTTTTTTTCGTGTTTTTTCCTGGATATATATTTTCCCCTCGTTCATTATCGCACTTCATACTTCATCATGACTGAACAGACACCTAAAGTACTCAAGCTTAAGACTTTGTCCCCGCCTTCGTTTCAACTGATGCCTTTCTGGCCCGACAACATCGAAGCCTGGTTTTGCTACGCAGAAGCCGACTTCTCCGAGCACGGCGTGATCGACACACGTGCACAATTCCTCGCAGTAGTCAAGGCACTACCGCGCGAATTCAACAGGTACGTAACACCTAGTATGTTTACTAGTGATGTTTCCGATCCTTACGAAATCTTAAAACGCTCGATTCTTAAACGAGGAGACCTAACCGATCGACAAAGGTTAGATCAACTCTTCAACAATATCGACCTGCAACACGGTTCTGCGACAGACATGTTGCAACGGATGAGAGAGGTAATAGGCCCAAGAACTTTCGACGAAGGCCTATTCAAACAACTCTTTTTGTCAAAACTTCCCCAACAGGTGCAAGCAGTTCTGGTCTCGTTCCAGAACAACGCCTTAGACGAACTAGCTGCATCTGCCGACCGCATTCTAGAAATTACGAAACCTACAACCGAGGTATTTTCAGTCAAAGAAAAGCCTCACACGACTCAGAATGATTTAACCGACTTATGTCACACACTCACGCGTTATCTTAGTCTTCGTACCGACCGTAAGAGATCGCGGACACCACGTAGAAGCATTTCTCGTAAGCGATCTGTCTCTAGACCACGAGAGACAGATAACCCCGACTGGTGCTGGTATCATAACCAGTATGGAAAGTTTTCCAGAAATTGCAGAAAACCCTGCAATTTTCCCAACACGAAACCGACTGATTCGAAAAGCAATTCGGGAAACTTCCAAGCCGGCACGCGTTAACGGCAACCGTAGCCGGCGAACAAAGCCGTCTGTTATTCGTCACAGATGTGACAACGAGAGTTCGTTACCTCGTCGACACTGGCGCAGAAGTTAGCGTTCTCCCAGCAAATCCTAACGACCGACTACACGAATCGACCCTAAACTTACAGGCGGCAAACGGAAAACCGATCGCTACGTATGGCAAAAGGTACGTTTACCTTAACGTGGGTTTACGCAAACCCATCCACTGGATTTTCGTTGTTGCAGATGTTTCTATGCCAATCATTGGTATGGACCTTCTACAACACCACAATCTGATCATCGACACTCGCAAACGGAGGCTAGTAGACGGAAACACTAATTTGTCCGTTTGCGTAACTTCTTTTACTGGTTGTAGAGTATCCCCAGTCACAGTTAAACATATGATAGACCCACTCTATCAGCCACTACTCGATAAGTACCCTGGGATACAACAAACTCAACCGAAACTACCGTGTGTAACCAGCAATGTTACACATCACATCACGACTACAGGACCACCTGTATTCTCTAAAGCACGACGACTAGCTCCTGAAAAGCTAAGGTTAGCGAAAAACGAATTCGATCACATGATGGACTTAGGAATCATACGACCGTCAAGTAGCCCATATGCATCTCCGTTGCACATGGTCCCTAAAAAGGACAGCAACGATTGGCGTCCAACTGGTGACTATCGGCGATTGAACGCGAAAACCATTCCCGATCGTTACCCGTTGCCTCACATTCACGATTTGACAGCTACCTTGAAAGGTACAACTGTCTTTTCGAAAATCGACTTGGTTAAAGCGTATAACCAAATCCCTATGGCTACTGGCGACATACCGAAAACAGCTATCATAACTCCTTTCGGACTCTATGAATTTTTGCGAATGCCTTTCGGTCTAAGGAATGCTGCTCAAACATTCCAAAGATTCATAGACGACGTTTTTCGAGGTCTCAACTTCGTACACGCGTATGTTGACGACTGTCTAATCGCAAGTCCGGACAGAGAAACACATCTCAAGCATCTGGATCTTGTTTTCGAACGACTTCAAAAACATGGCATAACTGTAAACGTTCAGAAATGCCAATTCGGAACCGACTCGTTAGACTTCCTAGGACACACTATCGATGCTCAAGGCATTCGACCTCTTAGGACCAAAGTGGCGGCCATTCTGGATTACCCAGAACCGACCACCGTCAAGCAATTACGCACGTTTAACGGCCTGGTAAGTTTCTATAGACGTTTCATACCGAAATGCGCATTACTTATGAAACCTCTGACCGACCAACTTCGTGGAAATGCGAAATCCATTAATTTGGACGACACCGCACGAAAAGCATTCTCCACAGTTAAGGAACTGATTGCTAAAGCAACGATGCTCGCACATCAGGACACCCGAGCACCCATTAGCATCGCAGTAGACGCATCCGACTCGGCAATCGGAGGAGTCTTACAACAATGGGTTAACAACTCCTGGCAACCCTTGGCATTTTTCTCAAGAAGGTTGCTAGACACCGAATCGAGGTACAGCACATTCGGTAGGGAACTCCTAGCTATGTATTGTGCTGTACGGCATTTCCAACACTACATCGAAGGTCGTGAATTCACTCTTTTCACGGACCATAAACCGCTCACTTTCTCGTTAAGCTCTCCTTCAGACAAGTACTCTCCCCGTGAGTCTCGACAACTGGACTACATTTCGCAGTTTACTTCAGATATTCAACACATCTCTGGAGCAAACAATGTAGTTGCAGACGCTTTATCTCGCATAACTTCCTTGAACAGTTTCCAAGGAATCGACCTTCTTAAACTCGCCGAGCTTCAAAAAGAAGACAGTGATCTTCAGCACGAGTTATCGTCCACAACACTTAAACTACGCATCAAACAGATGGGAACAGGTAAGGAAACCTTACTTTGTGACACATCTACAGGTAGGGATCGCCCAATCGTGCCGAAACATTATCGACGCAATGTCTTCAATACATTGCACAAACTTTCGCATCCAGGTGTTCGTGCAACCATCAAGCTTATAGCAGAAAGGTTTTGCTGGCCTGGAATGAATAAAGACGTGAGGGAGTGGGCACGCTCCTGTGTAAGCTGCCAAAAATCTAAGGTTATCAGACACAATAAATGTCCCTTAGGCTCGTTTAAAACTCCCGATGCTCGTTTCGACCATGTTCATCTGGATTTGGTAGGACCTTTACCGGATTCAAATGGATACTCTTATCTCTTAACCTGCGTAGACCGTTTCACTCGATGGCCAGAAGCAGTACCTATCAAGGACATCACTGCTGAAACAGTGGCTCGCACCTTCGTCGAACGATGGGGAGCAAACTTCGGCTGCCCTTCAACCATTACTACAGACCGCGGACGTCAGTTTGAATCCGATCTTTTCCGTCGTCTGACCACGCTTTTAGGAATCACTCGCTTCCGAACGACCGCCTACCATCCACAAGCAAACGGGTTGGTAGAACGTTTTCACCGACAACTGAAAGCTTCGCTATCAGCTGCAAACGTTTCACAGTGGACCGACGCTCTTCCACTCGTCTTACTAGGTATCCGCAATGCAGTGAAAGCTGACATTGGATACACTGCGTCTCAACTCGTTTATGGTACGACACTTCGACTTCCAGGAGAATTCGTGGATCCTTCATCCTCTTCAATGAACATGGATCTAACCTCCTACACGAACAGGCTTACAAACGCAATGCGTTCAGTTAAACCTGCTTCCACTCGACCTCAATCAACTGATGTTTTCGTTCAACCTGACTTACGATATAGTACACACGTTTTCGTTCGTCGAGACTCGCATCGACGACCCTTCGAATCAGCATACGAAGGACCCTTCAAAGTTCTTCAACGTGAATCTAAGTACTATATAGTCGATAAGAACGGAACCAACGATAGCATCAGTATCGATCGCTTAAAAGCAGCGTATTTAGAAGGAAATCCTATCTACGTGGATTTTCCTTCGGTACAATCGAACGACACGACTCCGACACTTATAATACCTCATCCGACAACCAACACACACGATGATACTTCGACAGTATCCGAAAATAAACTTAAAACGACGCGTTCTGGAAGAAGGGTGAGATTTCCAGAACATCTAAACGACTATTGCACGTAAGGCAC